AATATTAATTTTATATTTTATACTTTGATTTTATTATTATATCATTGATTATCATTTCTCGTTTTATTTATCATTTATTCTTATTATTCTTTTGTTTTATATTCTATATCATATATTCATATCATTTTCATTTATATTTTATCACTTATTATATGTTATAATAACATAACACATATGATTGAATATATAATAAACATCATGATGAAATTATACATATAAATAATAAACATAGAAAGAATAAAATATTTTTCATCAATAAAATAATATTAATCATTTTACATAATTATATTAGACACTTTTATTTCATATTTCTAATTTTTACAATAAACACTTTTTATTTCTTCTTTTCTTATTTTATCATCTCTTTGTGATTTATTACTTTTATATTCTTTCTTCACACTTTCTTTTTATTCTTTTATATATTTATATTCTTTTTATATTATTTGTTTTTCGTTGTGTTTCTATTTCTTTCTTCTATTATTTATCAATTTTATATTCATTTATTCTTTTTATTTCTTTTTTATTAATTCTTGAGTATTGTATATTTCTTTAATATTTCATTCATTTATTATCAAATTATATGTTTTATTGATTTTATGTTGAACAAAATATTGAATAATTCAATATTTTCATTCTTAATTATTCATTCTTTATTCTGAAATGTTGTGTATGTTTATTATATTAAATGAATATGATGAATGAATATCAATATTATTGTTTATTTGATTTTAAAAAATAATAAATGAATATGAAATAATGAAATAAAATAATGAAGATAATGAAATGATAATGAAATAGAATAATCTAATATTGAACAAATCAAATAAAGAATAAAATGAATATATCATTATTGTTACATTATTATTTATTATTTCAATTATTAAATATTAATAAATTATTATTCATGAATATTTAATTGATTGATATTTTACAATTTCATTTTCATTTTATTTAATAAATGAAATATAAATAATAAATGAATGAATAATAATTTAATATATGAAATAATAAAAAGAAAGATAAATAATAAAGAAATATGATGTATTTAATATATAATATAATTTATTATCAAATAAAATAATAATAATATCAAATGATGATTTATTTTTATTTCAAAATATTTTGCATCAATAAAAATGTTTCTAAATATTTTGCATCATTAAATTTTGCATCATTAAATTTTGCGCTTTTTTTATTTGTTTCAATAAAATTTGCATCTTTTATTTTTTTTCTTTCTTTTCTTCTTTTATCATCTCTTATGTTTTATTACACTTTATCTTCTTTATTTTTATATTCACTCCTTTCTACTTTTATTCTTTCTTCATCATATTCTACTTCTTACTTTCTTTTTATTCTTTTATATCATTCATTCTCTTCTTTTTCAATTATTTGCTTTTTTTTCGTTGCCGAATATTGTCTATCATTAAAAAGTGCCATACCAAACAAATTTGAAAGAGAAATACAAAACAACAAAAAAATACAATTTAAATTCTAATTACATGACAGATAAATAAAGAAGATTGTCTATGGAAATTACAATAAAGCATAATTGGTTATTATTTGTAATAACGAAAGACATTCATTATTCTTATTATTTTTTTGTTATGAATATTATATTCTATGAAACAATTTTTGTTAATAATAACATATCTTATGGTTATTTTAAAAAAATAAAAAGTAAGAATAAAGCAAATTTAATACTCTACACCACCTTCGTTTTTCCTTTTGGATACAAATTATCCCGAGACTTTTGGGGGAAATATGAAAAAAATAGTTAAACTCTCAACGATATGAACTATTTATAAGAATGGAATTGAAAAAGAGGTGAGTGTGGTTATTCAAAACCACTTGTTTTGATACTTTTGACTAACCACAATCTTATTATTATAAACATGAACCTAACATGCTTTGAACCTGTCTCTGTTATATTTGATGGAAATATATTCATTCAAGAACCAATCAATGAAAAAACCAAGACAAAAGATGTGAAAAAGAATTTAGTTAAATCACAAATAATGGATAAGAAGTTTCCTAAAATCAGGATTTCGTTAGAATCATTAGAAGAATTGAAAAAGATTAGAAGAGATACACAATGTAAATCATATTGTGAAGTAGTTGAATTTCTAATTGATTATTATATCCAATCAAAAATAACTGAAGACTGTAAATAATACTATTTTTATTGATTTTATGGTTTTTAAATAAACAAAACATTCAAAAATATTACTATGGAATTAAATCAACAACAACAACCTCAGGTGGACAATTCACTCTAAATCCATAATGACTTCCTATTCCAGATGTCACATAAACTGGAATTGAAGATTTGTTGTATTGTAAATGATATAATCCATAAATAACTTTCCATTTTTGTAAATCCAATAATCGCAAATACATAATTTTCCACCACCTCAACATCCATGCCTTGAAAAGCAATAATGGAGAACCAATAAATGGAATATTGACTTGCCCACCATGAGTATGTCCACAAAATATTGCACTGATATGAATATTTTGTTGATTATTTTCATTTGATTCTGAAAAGATTGTGTCGTTTAACACTGATGGAGTGTGTGACAATAAAACAATCTGTTGATTTTGTGGTAGAAGTAAATGGGAGTTGTTTGTGTAATAATCAATTCCAAAGAAATGGAAACAGTCAAACACATATTCCTCATTTAATAATATTGAAATACCAATAGATTGTAATGCTTTGATAATGTCATTTGGTGGTCGAAGTTTAATGTCATGATTTCCGATAATTCCAATACATTTAAATTTGTGTGCAATAAACTCAAATGATTTGATGAAAAGCAAAATATCTTCATGAGCAAGTTGGATATAATCTCCAAGAAAAATTACTAGTTCAGGATTATTGGTAGCTAAAATTGTTGAATTTTAAATGGCAAAAAAAAGTTACTAAAAGAAAAAGAAGATTCCACATAAATTATAGAAACGAAAAGTCATTTATATAAAAGAGTTAAACTCAAATAAATTAAGAAAAAAGTTAATAAAATCCAAAAAAACCAAAAATGATTGACAAAACTCAAAGCAGAAGATATTTAAACCAAAAACTGAGAGATCAAAAAGTGTTTCTGACTAAAACATACAAAGGTGAATATACTAAGATGAATGAATTTAACAAACGACGGAGTAATTACAAGAAAGTCCAAGACAAAAAGATAAAGAATAGGTGTGATCGTTTTTATGCCATATATTACCAATCTTCTTCTCCTCTTCTTGTAGACCTTTCACTTTTTTCTTCATTTAAAGAAGTTAATAAAGGAGCAAATCAACCAACTGTAAAACCTAAACAGTTAGTTTCTTTTATGTTACCTAAAGCTTTTTCTTCTTAGATATAGGTATAAAAAAAATAAATAATTTTTAATTAAAATTAAGAATTTAAATTTATTTATTATTCTGAAACACTTACAATATCACTCATTAATACAAACATATAAGTTAATAATAAGACTGGACTATTTTGTAATTGTTTATTTTTGTGATACAACTCTACCATTTTTCTATTTGTTGCAGAATAACATTTTCTGAGATATAAAGAAGAAATAGAATTTTGGAATTGTGATATACATTTTGAACATGTGAATGAAAGAACTCCTCGAAGTTCAAGTTCTTTTTCAGAAATAAAAGGTTGAGAACAAAATAAACAACGATTCATTTTTCTAAATGGGTAAAGTAGATTTGATAAATAACAATAAATAAAAGAGTTGTTTCTACAATCCTTACAACAATAAGCTTCATTAGTCGATACAAAAGCCAAAAGACATTTTTCATGATAATACCTATTACATCCATGACACATAACACAACTACTTCTTGGAAGGTTTGAGATATTTTTACATCTAGTACAAAATTGAGGTTCTTCAATAAAACTAGTTAGTGTTAATGACCCTGAATCTATTTTCATTAACTCAGCAGTGATATGTGCAAAAAAATACTTTGCTACCTTCATACTATCACAACAAGAAAAAGTTAATTTCTCAAATATAAACAACCTACGAGGTTGTGGAATCCCAGTAACTTTAAACTCATTTATTGGACTAAAAACTTTTACAGTATAACTTAATTCTGTTTGTTTTTCAAAACATCCCCATGCAAATACTAATAATGAAGTTGTTCCATTTTCTGTTAGTTCATCTCCAAATAAAATAATATCACCTGGATGAACTTCATCTCCATATTCTACAGTAACTGGTTTAGAGCTACTTCGAAATAAAGAATGTACACTTTGAAGATATCGTTTAATTCCACCAACAGAAGTACAAATAATTACTCTAAATGTTCCTAAATTGCTTGGAGATTGTCGTTGAATAGTTGAAAAGATTAAATTCATTGAACGATAATATGACACTAATGACTCTCTTGTTTCTTTTAATATTTCATTAATATCAGTTTCTTGATTAGGTGTTGAAGAATAATACTCAAACTGATCATAAAGAAATGACTTAGCCAATGAAAAAGAAAAATGAGTTATTGGATGTAAATCTATTGGATGTTGTTCTTTAAATTTTAATATTTCTTGTTTTAATGAAAGTATTGTATTCTTATATTTTACTTTAAAAAAAGTTCCATCAACACGAACTCGTTGTTTTACTAAATATTCTAAAGGAAACATTTCTTGAATAATTTCATCAATTTCAGTATCTTCTATACTAACAACACTTTCAGTATCACTTGAGTTAGACTGTCCTTTATGCATTATTATTTATCTTCTTATTTTTTAGTTCATTTTTACTAATGAATAACTTTTAATATTTTTGTTTTAATTCTTTTTTATTTGTCTTCTAATTTGGATATAATTCATAAGAAACAAAAAAAAAAAAAAAAAAAAAAAAAAAAAAAAAAAAAATCATTTTTGATTAACCTTATTTTTTAGGTTTTCCATCATGTTGAGAAGTGAGCGAATCAGTTTCTTCAACACGCTTTATTTCTATTGAAATAAAGTTTTTGCAAGCATGCTCGACTTAAATGGTTCCTCAATTAAGTTGCTGCCTGACTTTTATTTTGATTTTAATGAGTAATATAATATTTCTCATTCTCTATATTGTTGTTTTAAGGAGAGTATATCCATAACTTACTGTTATAGCTCATCTCCTTTTACCTTCGACACCCCTTAAAGAAACCCTATTCCTTGATAATATCCTTATGTTTAATTTTTGTGCAACAATATCAATTATATATGCGTCTTCTTTAATAAATGATAATTCTTAATACATAATACCTCCTTAGTAAATAATAATCCTTATAATTAATAATGAATAACAATACACGTTAATGAATAACAATGCACCTCAATGAATAACAATACACGTTAATGAATAATAATCTTTTATAATAATCACTTCTAATAAATATTAATAATAATAAACAGTTAGTGTTGAATAGATATTATCTCACCAAAGGCACGTCATGACCAGACGATAACTGGGAGATTCGAAGCATGGGATTATTTTAGGGTTTCATGTGGTGTCTCTGACGTGCCATCTTCGAATCTGATATAATTCATAAGAAACAATGAAAAGAAAGGATAATCATATTTAGGAAAATAGTTACACAAAAAAAAAGATATCAATTTTAATGAACAGTATTTCTGTGGAAACTCCATTAGTGAAGTTTACATTTTCTAATGGGTCATTATGTTGTGATGACTCTCAATTAAGAGATACTCTCAAAGAATTTATTCTAAGTTATAGTAATAACAAAAATAATGAAGGCATTAAATTCAATGAAGATGATATTATTGGAACTCCACCATTAAGTCATTCTGTGTATTATTACCCAACAATGGAAGAAATAATAGAACATGAAACCAAAAAGAAATACTGTGACAAAATCAGACACAAAAGACTAGATGAAAAAATTGAAGAAGCTCAGTACTCTATATTCTATACCAGATATTCTTCAATTGAAGAGTTGTTGTCAAGTGTCTACCTTTAAATTAAGTCTTTTGTTCTTGAATTAAATTTGTTCATAAAAAAAGTAAAAAATTCATTCAATTTAAAACATCAAGTTCACAAAAAGAATTCTGGTACAACTACTTTTGCAGTTAACTTATGTTGGTCTGGAGGGCATTCTTTGAAAAAAGTAAAACCACGGTCAGTAACTGATCTTAAGTTCATAACACATGCATCATTTCCACAACGATAACAATAATTTGGAGCTGACCATACAGTAACAATTTTTTCATTAAACATCCATTTATATCCATCCTGAATTAATTGATGAGCCCGACATACAAAATCTAGTCCATTTTTATCATTAAATTCAAGTAATGGTTTTTCTCCAAAAAGATGACCAGCTCCACGAGGAGACTCTTCCCATCTAATTCCACTTTCGTCTGGATCAGACCATAACAAATCACACATAACACCTTCATGAGGTACCTCAACTTTTCTATCAATTTTACGAATGTCATCTAAATTCTGACACATAGGAGAAAGTCCTCCATGAGTACAAAATATTCTGTTATTAATCAATGCACCTAGTGTGAGAAAATCAAATAAATCCGTACAATTCTTCCAAACATTTGAAGTTCCATATTTTCTTTGGCATTCATCATAAAACCCATATATTTGAGTAATTGCCCTACTCTCATGATTACCTCGAATTAAGTATATTTTATCCGGGTATTTCACTTTTAAAGCAACCAATAATAAAAACGTTTCAACAGAATTAAACCCTCTATCAACATAATCACCTAAAAATATATATTTGGTTGATGGTGGTTTACCTGCAACTTCAAAAAGTTGTAATAAATCCCAAAATTGTCCATGAATATCTCCACAAACTGTAATTGGTGTTTCAAGACTGATAATATTACCTTCTTGACATACTATTTCTCTACATTTATCACATAAATCTTCAACATTCAATTCAGTAATTGGCTCCCCGTTCCATAGCTTTTCAAGCACCTTATCAATGTCAAATGGCTCATTACTTTCATTTGAGCCATATCCCATCATCTCAATATCCATCTTTCTTTATCTCAAATTTTTAAGTTTTTTATTCCCCTTTTTTTTTTCTCTTAACATTACTACTTTTTAAGCTCTTTAATGTTATTAATTTTTTCTTTGTCCAGTTATTTCAATACAACAACACATTGAGTTTTATTCAAATTTCATTAATAAAGTTCAATAACAGAAAAAAAATATAACAAAAAGGTGAATTACCAAATAAATCAAATGTGATAAACTCATCTTTAGGTTTTCATCATGTTAAGAAGTGAGAGAATCAGTTTCTTCAAAATGTCTTATTTCTATTGAAATAAAACTATTTCAAGCATGCTCGACTTAAAAGTGAATTACCAAATAAGTAATATAATAGAAAAAAACCTAAAAAACCTTCACCCAAATAACAAATAATTTTAACCTCAATTTTTACTTTAGAAAAATAAGTTTTCTTTGTTATTTATCATTCTTGTACTTTTATATCTTTAATTTTTTGTTTAATTGTTTTAAGTTTCTATCTTCAATTATTTTAATTTATTCTTTTCTTTTTGAATATACTTCTTGTTGAATATTATATCATTGCTTTTACATTCTTCATTTTTATCTATTTCAGATTATTCTCTCTTTTTATTCTTTTTATTCTTTCTGGTATATTAGTTGTTGTTAATCATTTCTATTTGTTATTAGTATAATCATTTTCATAATTATATTTCAATGTTTTTCTTTGTATCTTTCTCTTTCTAATCTCTTTTCATTTGTATTTCTTTTATAATTATCATTAATTTTACTTAATTTATTGTTATTGATATTCATTCTTTTATATATTGTTGAATTTCTATATATTATTTGTTTTTTATTACAACATACAAGATATTACTCAATAACAATGCAACTAAATTTATTGTTTATTTTGAATTGGAAAAGAACCAAAAAAAAAAAGAAACTAAAAACAAAATCAAAAAATTTCAGTTCAAGTAATGTCAATTAATAGTAAATTTTCACCTGAAATTCCTGTAGATACCTTATTCCATTTTGCTGATGTTGATGGAGATGGGATGATTGGAGGATCTGATGCTTTATTTTTCTTTCAATATACCAAGTTACCCATGAATGTTTTATCAAAAATCTGGAGCTTATCAGTTCCTCCCAAAAAACCTATGTATCTCTCTGAATTTGCTAAGGCACTGGTACTGATTTATTACGCACAACAAAACCAACCAATTTCAAATGAATTATTTACTAAACCACCACCTTACAACTCACCTATAATTGATATTCCTTTCTTCTTAAAAGAAGACCAAATTAAACAAGCCGATAATTTATTCACTTCACTAATTAATACCGATCATGTCACAATGACTAAAGACATTTTTGCTGAAAAAGTTTTAGTTCAATATAGTGGTATATTAACAATTGATGATATTATGAAAATTACAGCAAAAACAAATCCTAATGAACTTAATAGAAATGAATTTCTTTTAGCTTTGGCATTATTAAAAAATCAAAAAGCTGGTTTTGCAATTCCAAAAAAGGTTCCTTCTTATTTTAATACATATGTTAATACTTTTGAATACCATCCACCTCAACATTCCATACCAATTATTACCCCAACAGTTGGCTCTCCTGCTGTTGAAAAACCTACAGAACATAATTCATTACCACAAAAAGAATTACCAAAAATACCAACAAAAGCTGTCCCTCCACTTCCACAAAAAGTTATTTCTACAGAAAATGTGATAGAACATAAAGAAAGTATTAATCTGCATTCAGAAGCATCAACAACTCAAAACGGCGAAGAAAAAAAAGAAGAAATGAAAACCCCAAAATCTTCTAAAGAAATTAAAGAGGAAAAGAAAAAAGCTGAAGAATTGAAAAAAGAAGAAGAAAAAAAGAAAAAAGAAGCATTGAAAGAAGAAGAACGTAAAAAGAAGGAAGAAAAGAAAAAGGCTGAAGAACTAAGAAAGGAAGAGGAAAAAAAGAAAAAAGAAGAGAAAAAAGAAGAAGAACGTAAAAAGAAGGAAGAAAAGAAAAATAAAAAAAGTCAGAAAGAGATCAAAGAAGAACCTCGTCCCACAGAACATTTGGAAGAAGGTAAAGATGAACCTGAAAGTAATGATAATGATGGAATAAAAAAAGAAGATTCTAATACTAACCAAGAAATATTTAACACATTTTCATTTGACCAACCAATTGAAAATAAAATACCAACTTCTATTGTAAAAAGTAAAAAAACAGAAGAACCATTTAGTTTTGGTGATGGATTTAATTTTGATACAATAGAAAAGAACAGTAGTAATCAAGAACAAACAGTCCCCAATCCAATTACTAGTCAAAAAACTCAACCACTTGAGCCTATTCCTAATACAAAACAAGAAGAAAAAGTATCTTCTGGAATTAATTTTGACATATTTTCATTTGATACTCCTGTCACAGTTAATAATATTCCGACTTCAGTTGTTAAATCAAGTAATTCTAATGTCTTTTCATTTGAAACAGAAACAACAAAAGACAAAGAAGAAGAACAAAAAAATCCAGAAATTGGTTTTGAAGAAATTAATAAGAAATTAGAAGAAATTAAGGAGGAAGAAGGACAATGTAATAATGAAATTCAAGAAAAGATGAGTCAAATTGAACAGCTTCAAAAAGACATTAAAGAATTAGAAATAAAGAAAAGAGAACTTACTAAAAAGAAACAAGAGCTTGAATCTAAGCTTGGTCAAAATAAGACAATTAAAAAAGAAGAAAACGAACCAACTAAAGGAGTTCCAATTTCTGAACAAACTAAAGAAAGTATTTCTCCTGAAGAAGAAAAGAAAATGATGTTTGGTAAAAATTTTAATAAAAATGCTTATGGATTTAAAGGAAACCCTTTTGTGTTCCCAATTCCAAATGAAGAACCATCAGTTCCATATTCGTCAATGTTTGAAGGTATCATTTAATTGACTGTTTCTAATTCATTTTAAATAGAAAGAAAAAATAAATACAATAAGGGGAAGTAGATTCTAATTAAATTTAATATAATAAATAATAATAGTAAATACATTATAATAAATTGTGTATTTATTTTTAATAAAGGAAGTCTGTGTTATTTTCTTTCTTTTTTTATTATTCTCTTATAATATTTTATTATTTTTTTTTTCTAATTAATTAAAATAGATAATTAAATGTTAATAAAATCGTTAATTATTCATTACTTAATGAATATTATTCACTTCATACATTATTAAAAAGAGTATTTCAATGTTTTATTTATTATTTAGTTTTTCTTCTTGTTTTATGAATAAATCATTCTTCTTTTTTTTTATTTGTTTTGATTGTTTTTTCTTTCTTCTTTCTGTTTATTTCTTCTTTTTAATTTCTTCTTTGATTTTAATGAACTTCTTCTTTCTTTATTTATTTATTTATTTCTTATTTTATGAACGAATATTTCATTATTATTATATTATTCTATCTAATTTCCTTTATAATTAATAACATCATTTATATCATTTTCTTTTATTATTATTCTTTCATATTATTTTACTTCATTCCTTGTATTATTAATTAATACATTTTATATTCAATTACATCATCATCAAATTTTAATTGATAATTCATTAATTGATTTTATATTAATGTTTGTATGTGTTTCTGATATGTTAATTTCAAATCTATATTAATAATAAAGAAAAGACAATAAAAGATAATTTTTTTTAACAAAGAACTTTAAATAAATACACTTCAATGGATAATCATCAACAGGCATTAATTTTATTTAAAGAAATTCAAGACATTCAAGGATATGACTTAAAACCAAAAATACTAAAGTTCAAAGAGTCATTAACATCAATTCATATCATTCATCAACTCGTTTCAATGGGAATTTTTAAAGTGGTTCTTTCATATTTTATTTCATTGCCTAATGAAGTTCTTCAAGTAATTGAATTATTAATAAAGGATAGAGAAACTGCTCAAAGTTTTATTAATTCTTCTTTTTATGAAGAATTTCTTCCTCTTATAAATGAACAAACTCAGCCAGAAATCATTATCTCTTTTTTAAGAATTATTCGTTTAGTTACAAGATATACAAAAACAAATCCAGATATAATCATACCATTTATCTCTAATTTCATTAATCCTCAATACATTGATTCAGTTGAAATTCTTAATAACTTTTTATCTTATCATATTCAAATCTCTTACCCAGATTCATTAGAACCTTTAGTTGGTAAATTCATTTATACTACTCAACCTAGTGACTATGTTTTATCAGTTTATTATAACATATTTACAACAGGGGAAGATGCATTAATTCATATTGATGACTTAATTAAAGTACTTCCAAGAAGTGAACAAACTAAAACATTTGTTGTTGGAATTTTCACCAAAATTATGGCAGGTTATTTATCAGGAAAGAAAACAATAGATCAAACAAAATTAAATGAATGTGTAATGAAATTATTATCTTCAAATGTTTTGAACCAAATATCATCATTTCTTAGTGATAGTTATAATATTACAATGATTTCTTTTATATTAACTTATTTTGAATTTGTTTCCAGTGATTATAGAGGAATTAGTTATATTAAAATGAGTAATGCATTACATAATATTATTATGTTACTTGAAAATACATTTATTTCAATGAGATGTTATGAAAAGATATTTAACATTATGACAAATTGCTCAACAGATAACACATTATACTTTGCATTTAGATCATTAAATATTATTAGATATATTTCTGATATTATTGAAATGAGGAATATTAAAGAACCAAATACTCTAAATGCAGCATATAAGGTTTTGTTTGCTTATATGAATCAAGATGATTATTCATTACTCACAAATATTATTAATAAGAATGACTCAGACAATATAGTTTGGTTATGTATTGTTGCCAAAACTGAAAATCCAAGACAGCACATTGCAGAAAATATAATTAGATATTTAAATAATGATACATTATATGTAATTGTTGATTGTATCATTAAATATTTTAATTCAATAGTAAAATTAAAAGAGGAAATTAAAAAAGAATTTAAAACAGAAGAAGAAAGTTGTTGTGAAATATTAATTAAGTCTCTAATACAAGGGTATCAAGTAAATCAAATAATATATTTATTTAATCAGTATAATATTAAAATAGAAGATAAATGGATAAAAAATATTGATATAGATTCATTTTTTATAACAATTCAAAAGAATAATATTCCTACAATTCAGTTAATTAAATTTTATTCTTTATTATTGTCATCACCATCATTAAATAATAATATTATATTATTAAATACAATATTTGAAATTAATGATAATAATGATTTCTCTATACAAAAAGAAATTATTCATTTCTTTATTTTGGCTATTCAAACATCTGCTATACATCTTATTGATGACTTAGATTGGATAGACTGTCTTTTCACAAGATTTAGTTCTATTCCACAACTCCATCAACAATTAATTCAATTTCTAACGATCTATAACCATATTAAACCATTTAAGAATGAATTTAAGTTAAAGGTATTAAATTTTCTAACTTCATTACTTGATACAAATCAAACTGAAGAATGTTGTTCTTTAATAATAGAACTTTCAAATTAAAATGAAAGAAAGATCAAACAAAAAAAGAAATCATTTCAATTGAATATTTTTGATTGTGTTTGTTAATTAAAATATTATTTGTGTAAATTACTCATATCATTTTTTAACCACCATGATGAGAAATGTTGAGAAACAATAAATTCTGAATACCATTGTTTTGTATTATCATTTATTGATAATGGGAATGTTTCTTGGAAATGTTTTAATTCAATAGGACCATTTTGTTTACAATAAATTGTTATTCTTCCAATAATTTTATTAAAGAAATGTTCTTTTAAAGATTTTAATACTTCTTGTGCAAATTCACTTGATTTATTAGTTTTAACAATTTCATTAATACGTTCTTCATAAGTAGTTAATATAAGTACATGACTTAAATATTTATTAGCTATTCTTTTTAAGTCAAGATATACTTCTTCAAAATATGGAATTGGTAATGGCATCTTTTCATTGTTTACAAAAATTCTATCAATACTATCCATTATTCCTAATGGTTCTACTGGTGCAACAAATGCTGAAACATTTACTTTTTCTGTTGGAAGTTCTGTTCCATAAATACTTGGAATAGGAGACTCTAAAAATTCATAAAGATGAGATGGAATATAAGGAAGTACAACCCCTTCCCATTGAAATGGTTGAATTAATGGAAGTAATGCTAATACACAATCTGTTACTAATGAGACATTCTTTCCAATAAGAAATACTGATACATTTAATAGTAAACTAGATATCATTGAGAGAATTCCTGTTATTTTTGTTACTGCAAATAAACGAATAATAGCATGATCTGCAATTAATTCAATTGGTGGTTTAGTAGCTACCAAATTATTGAATGATTTTAATATTGGAAGTAACCTTTCAGAAGATGATTGATATTTAAAAGTTGGAATTAAAGGTACAGTTTTCAAATAGAATTGTTTTAGCCATTGGTCTTTAAGACTAAAGTCTAAGGCAAAAAGGTCTTTAATAATTGGGGATAATACTGATATATCTGGACAATGTGTCATAATACAATAAACTCTATTAGTTTCTAATGGCTGACTTGAATAAATACTTGACATATTTGTTTCTTCTACTAAATCACTAGGAAATTGAAGCAATTCTCTACGAGTAATACAAATACAAAATAATGGATCATCTCCTGGAATAAAAGTAATGTGAATACCTAAAGGAGAATTTAAAATAGTTTCAATATTTTCAGCAATTTTTAATTCAATTCCTTTAGGAATAATAAATTCTTGAATTTTTTCATTTATTGTAGCTTCTTGTGGATATTTAAATAATAATTGTGACGGAAATGTTTGTACTTTACGGAAAAAATTAAATGGTTTTGTTACTCGAAATTTTGATGGTAATCCCCAAATTGAAAAACTCTCAACAACTTTCCCCGGAGCAACATTTAATGCTTGCTGAATTGGACTATGGTGTTCCATTGCGAGTATTTAAATATACAAATTTTAAGTTCTTTTATTACTTAGAAGAAATAACTTTTTTTATTAATATAATGTTATATATTACATTTTATATTTAATTTTCTTTAATAAAAAAATCTTAAAAAAAAAAAATGAAAAATCTGATGAAATACGAAGATTAAAATTAAATGGAGGAAATACTTCTTTTGATCACAACTGGAATGATTATAGTTGTAATATTTGGGACTGTATTAATTGTTACATGTATAAATAAACCAAAACAAAAACTCAGAGAATATGGGAAAGTAGAGTCAAATACATCACTTCGTCCTGAATTAACCTTCAATGAGATGTGCCAAAAAATTAATACGTTACATGCAAAGCCAATTATAAAAACATCAATTGGTATTGACGTGCCTCGTTTAGCAACAAAAATAATTATTAAAAAATCTGATAAAATTATTTTAAGTGGAGCAGAAATATTTAATAAATATGAAAAAGAAAAGTATTCTGCAGAACTTACTGTTAGAGAAGTTGTTAGTAAAATGATTGAACTATTTGATGGTAATGATATGAAAGAATATTTTGAACATACTTTTGAAGATTTATTTAATTATATCAGAACTAAAACAGAAGGAGATGTTAGTAGTTGTTTTAAAAAGTTATTACCAATAGTGTTTCCTGAAGATTGTTTAACTATATCAGTTATGAAAACATTTACACAAGCATTGTTTGCTGCTGCAGTAGAATATTTACTTCCATTTAGAAGAAAACATCAATACCATGATGGGTATACTGGATGGAATATTGAAGTTATAATTGAATCACAAGAAATTAATATTAAACATACTAAAGGAGAAACATCATATGAAGAAAATGGATTTAATTTTGAATGGTGTTTAATATATAAAATAGATAGAATTAACAAAAGAATAATTTCATTAGATTTACAAATTGATAATGTTCAATTTAATAATTATCCAAATGATCTTCGTGAAGACTTTATTATTTGTATAGATAAAATTAATGCTGAAAGTCATTTAAAGGAATTAAATTAATGAAATATACTTTCCTTTTATTATCTTTGTCTTCTTGTAATTGAGTTATTATTAACTGAATTGATGTAGAAAATATAATATAACCAAAATAAAAAAAAGTGACAATGACTTAATAGCGTTGATTAATAAATGGTGCTGAAGCAACAAAATGTACTTCATCAAAATTCTGTGTTCCAGTTGATTTATTAACGTATTGATAATCAAAACCATCAACCATATTTTTAAGATAACTAGAATCATCCCAATCAATATCATAATAAATGCAATTAAACCCACCAAAATAGGATTGTTGTTGTTCAACGATATCATAAGGGAAGAAATAATATCCACAATAATCTTTATGTGGTGGTGTTAATTTTTGTAATTGTGAATCAGTTGGAGTATAATATAATGCAATAACTTGAGTTGGAAGAGCATTATAACATAAATCAATATGTGAATTATCAAGAGAATTAACTCGAATCATACAAATATCAAAATATCTTCCATTTGGTTGTTTTTGAGATGGAAGTAATGATTTCATGAAATATCTATAAACTGGATCAGTTGAACAAATCTTTTCATTAACACATTTAAATTCATATGGTCTATTATAATTTGACATCCAAAATTCATTTTCTGTATTATTTTCATAACAATTACCATAACATGTATCCCAATTTAATGGATCTTGTGCATTAGGACAAATTAATAATTCTTCTTCATATGATATTTCTCCCATAAAATATTCAATTGAATGACTTCCACGTGCATTTCTACCAGTTGCTCCTGGATAATTACCATAAATTGTATCATTCCATGAATTCTTTAAAATAAATCCTCCTTTAAATCCAGCTTTTGTAACAAATTCATCATTATATCCAACCATAACCATTCCATGTCCACCTGCCATTTGCATTTCTTCATGTCTATCAAATTCTGCATCAGGAGTATACATTGGTAATGTAATTTTAACACAATTATCATTACCATATTTAATTGGACATTTAATTATTTCATATAATCCAGAATTACAAAGATCAGCATATTCAGTACATGGGAAATATTCAAAATCATCATGAATTAATGATGTCCATGCTAATGCTCTTTTTCCTTTTTGAATAAATAATTTTTTAACATCTTCAACAGTAGTAGCAATATTCATTTTTGTTACATTAAATTTAATTGGATTTGTTTTTGTAGCTTCTTCCATTTTATCACAAACAAATTCATCTTCATCAGTTGGAGTATAAGGACAAACAGAATCTGGTAAAATTTGATTATATAATCCTGGGAATGAATAAAACCAATTTATTTCTCCTCCTGATGTTGAATTAAGTAATAATGAATCTCCTGGTGTATTACATACGTCTGGATGTTCTTTACAATGTTCTACCATTCTAATACCTAATACTTGTGTAGAAAATCTAACATATTCATTTTCTTCTAAAAATCCTTTAGCAATACCATTTTGTCTATAACTATCTTCTAAAAATCCAATTAATGCAAAATCCCAACAAGTCCCTCTCTCCATTTGATAATAACGTGGATTTCCATGTGGAATTCTTGCTTTAGATGGAATTGTTATTTTCATTTCATCATTTAAGTATGTAGATGCAACATCTGTTACATTTCCTACAGACTTTTCAAACGTCGATACTATTTCATTCTCTTTGATAAATGGTGCAAATCTAAAATATAACATTATTCCAAATTGTAACATCAATACTAAAAATATTAAAATTACTGCAATTTTTTGTGTAATTGGAAATGCAGATAATTTGCTTAAGAACATGTTCCCCATGATATTGAATATTTAGTTCTTTCATTCCTATTTTTCAGTTTTGGATTTTTCATTCATATTTGAATTTTAAATAAACATATTCCACACTTTTTATTTTAGTTTTATATAACAATGCATAATTTATATTTTTTTTTTTTGATAAAAAAAAACCCTGAAAATGTCATTTGGAAAAGTCAAGAAATATTAAAAATCTACATTTCATTTTTAGTCATTCAATCTTGATAAAAGGAGATTTCTTTTTGCCCTAAAAGGAACTTGAACTGAATTTAAAGTTATTACATTTCTTTTACTCAATGTCTGATCCATTTAATGATTATTCTCAAAATAATGATACCAATTCCGATTACCAAACAACCACATTATCTTGTAGTGTTCCAATACTTTCAATTTTAGCTACTGTTTTTGGATGGATTGGAGGAATTATTATTTTCTTCCTTGAAAAGCAAAATGTTTATGTTCGTGCTGTTGCTCTTCAATCTTTCATTGTTAATGGTATTATTTTTATGATTACTCTTTTCTTCCTTATTTTCTATTGGGCTGGAGTTTTCTTCGTTGTTTGTTTCTGGATTATGTTTGTTATTGCAATTTTAGTAATAATTGTTCTTGTTGTTCTTGCATTTATCAAAGCCAAATCAGGTGTATTCCTTGGAATTCCCTTCCTTGACAAATGGATCCTTAAAGTTGCTAATCACTAAATTATTCTCTTTAGTTAATTGAATCTCAATTAAATTTTGTTGCTTTAATTTACATAATAAAAATATTAAAAAGTAAAAAAAAATAACATTTATAATAATGAATTTTCATTCGTAAATGAACTATTTTTAAAAGAAATAGTTGTTGAGTCTTCAGTTGTTTGAAATGATTTTGGTTTAAAAGAAACAAATTTTTCATTTGGAATTTGTTGTGTTAGTTTTGGATGACTTTGTTTTGGTAGGGGAGGTGGTACTTTCTTCTTAGTTTGAAGAGAAGATAACATAACTTCACTTTGTGAAAGACGTTTTTCAGGTAAAGGAGGTGGAACATCTTTTTCCATAACATCTAAAGGAGACAAATGAACTTGTTCAATAATTTTAGAATGTAATTCTTCAATTTCATCACTTACTTTTTCTGCAGGTTTAAAAAAGAATTTCATCATAAAATTTGATGGAAGTCCCATTTGGTTTCTATTAACCCCTTCAGTTGGGTCTTGAAGTTTATCAATTCCCATTGAATAAATATAATTTGCATCAATAAAAAAAGCAGGAAGTAATATTTTTCCTACTACCACTGTTTTATCTTTAACTTCTACAGTTAAAATAACCATTTGGTCATTAACTATTAGTCTATCTGTGAATGAAATAACAAAAGATCCATCTCCAGTTTGAACCCATTTTTGTGGATATTTACTAAGTTGTGGTTTTGGTTCTGAATGAGACAATGGTGTAAAATAAAGAACTGGATGTGCAACATCATTAAAATCACGTGGAACTATACAATGTTTAAATCCACTAAAAGTAACACTTTTTAATTGAACTTTATAATTAGGTATTGGAGTATATGGAATTGTATTATTAAATACTTTCATATAATAATCAAAAGCATAACAATATCTAACTTGGGGAGGAGATGTTGATCCTTTATTAATTTTTGATCTTCTTTTTGCAAAAAATTCCATAGCTTCTTTTGCATTTGAACAAATCCCAAGTCCCATTAATACGCATGAACAAACTAATCCAGTTCTTCCCCTTCCTGCTTTACAATGAACACAAGCAACATTGTTTGGATCACTTTGTAAAAACTTTACAATTTCACCAACTACTTTAAGTAAGTGATTGAAACGAGGAGGATGATGATCCAAAAATCCGACGTGTTGAACTCTATTTTCAAATTCAAGTGAAGAATATGATTTTTCTGTTAAATTCCAAATCATATAATGATGTGGATGATGTTGATTTAAATACTCTGCAATTTCATTTTTAGAATTTCTCCATTGTTGAGTAATACCTGTAGTAGGTATTCCCATAGCAATAAGGTTAGGAAGGATATAAGTGAGGTCATAGTCTGTTCCATCAATAGTGATAATGTTTTTATCTTCAGCTACGATTCTTCTTAACATGATTTATTTGTTATTTTATTCTAAATTTTATTTAGTTTTCATTTGTGTTTTAATAAAATTTTGTTATGTAAAAAATAAAAAAAGAGAAAAAAAAAGAATTAAATACAAAATGAGTTTGATAAACCCACAACAATTCATAACATTTTGTGAAGAATTATACACAACTCCTAATAATCAAAGAAGGAAAGAGCTTATAGGGATATTACCTATTTCATTAGAAAAAAAAGAAGATCTTTCAGATTATCTTTCTTTATTACTTCAAACGGATAATGTTTATGCACAACAATACATCATATCTTTAATACTCAATTCATTTAAATTAAGTCCATCAACTTTTTTATCTTGTTCAAATGATATACAAACAACTCTTTTAAAAGTAATTCAAAAAAGTACAACTCAAGGATTTATTGCAAGGTCGTGTTATAATTTGTTTTCTATTACTGTAGTTTATTCATGGAAAACCCCAGATAACTCAGAAATATTTTTAACAACTATTAGAGCATTAGTTAATTCATTAAAACCAATATTAATAAATATTGCAGTTCATTTAATATTTTGTGTATTAGATGGAGCACAAAGTAATTTTTCAAAAATGAATTTAGAGAAAAATCAAATATCAACAATTAAAACAACGGTTATATTTGAATTAATGAAGTTATTAATTTCTCTTATAAAATCTATTCAACTTATTCCTAGTAATGAAGATTTAATTAAAACTATATTAAATTCATTAAATTCAGGAATTGGACTATGTCATTCTTGGCATTATGATGAAGAATATGTTAATTGGATTCATTTACCTGAAAAAATTTATGTTATTGTTCAGGACGAAGAATTTTATCAAAAATTAATTGAAATATATAGTGTTTTTGCTTCTACAATAACTTCATCTGCAGTAATGGAATTATTATTTGTTCTTGCTTCATTAAGACAAATAAGTGTTCCTAATGCAATGAGTAAACAAAGGGCAGTTGAATTATTATCATTATTTATTCAATCAGTAATTGATAAAGAAATAGGACTATATACAAATGAAAATTTTGTACTTACATGTCGCTTTTTAATGAAATTTAGAACAACTCAACTTACAGGATCAACGACAACTACTGAATGGTTAAAGTCAGTTAGTAGATTTACTATTAAAGTATTTCAAAGTAATAATATGGTATGTATTTCTAATATGTTAAGTTTTTGGATGAAATATACTTTATCAATGTTTAGATATCCAGAAAAAGCACAACAATGGAATATAATAATTAATGAAATATGTCAAGTTTTTATTCAATCAATGATAGCAAAAGAAGAATATTATTTTATTCATGACCCAAGTGAAGATCCTCTTCTAAGTGAAGAACAAATTCAATTAATTTATGAAACATATGGACCAATTGCAAGATATTCTTATGAATCATTTTATAGATATATTAAGTCAATATTTAATAAAACAATTCAAGAATTTGCATCATTATGTTCTACACCATTAACAGAACAAGGTAATTTAAAAAAGAATATTATTTCAAGTCAACTTGCTTTTATTATTGAAATGGTTGTTGGAGTATTAAAAGCTAAATTAATAATGGCAACAGATACATTATCTATAACATTAGACACATCTATATCTAATATAATTTTTCCATTTGTTATTCAATATAATCATTATGTTCAACAAGCTGGATATATTAAAGATATTAAAGATATGGAATCAAGTGGAGACTTTAGGTTACAAAAGGCATGTATTAATTTTATGACAGTATTTAGAACTACATTAATTGCAAAAAATTCTGTTAGTAGTTTAAGTCAAATGGAAGTAGAAAGAATTGCAACAACAGAAGATTTCTTAAAGTTTTATCTTGAAATGGTTTCAACAATACTAAATGAATGGAGACATTCAGTAGTTATTATTACTAAATGTTTAGAATTATTTACAGTTATTAGTTCATCATCATTATTTAATTATCAATTATTTAAATTTGAAATGGTAAGAAATATGGTAAGTCAAAACCATATTTCATTGTTATCTAATTTTAAAGGAACACCAAAACAATTAAAAAAAATACATTTTGAATTATATAGAACATTAGGAACAATTTTATTTAATTGTAGATTATCACTTTATTTACCTTTATTCTTAAAACAATTTATACCAATCATTGAACAAATTCAATTATATATTAAACAACCAAATTCAAATTTTGATACTTCTATTATATTTACATTATTTACTGATTTACGTTCTGTTATAATAACATCAAAAGAATGTGAAACTGTTCCTATGTGTTTATATGATTTTCTTATTGTTCATATTTTTCCTTTAATAACTCCATTAATTTCTGTATTACAAAGAACACCAATTCTTCTTATTCCATTATTACGTTTACTTGGTGATATTGCTTCAAGTAAAAATTTTCAAGAAAATTTCCCAATAGAATCACCTAATTGTATGAGAATATTTAAAGGAATAACAATAGCTACTGCATCTTTATGTGCTTCATTTATTCAAAATTCAAATAAAACATATCAAAATCCTTATTTAGAATGTTTTAAACCAATTTGTCTTTGTTTAAGAGCTATGTCAGAATGTTTTAAATGTAATTTGGTTAACTTTGCAATATTTCAAATATATCAAGATAATAGTGTTGTAGAAACATTAAATGTTGTTCTTGACACTGCTTTAAGAATACCATTTAATGCATTAGAAGAGTATCCAAAAATAGTTAAAGGTGTTTATTCATTTATAGATAGTTTATCATTAATTTGTAATTCAAATGTATTAATATTTACTGAAAAAGAATTACTTAATATTCTTCAATTAGTTATTAATGGAATGAAAATGAAAAATGGAGATATAATTTTAAATTGTTCTCATTTTCTTAATGGATTATTAGACTCTATTTACTCTTCTATTAAAAGAAGAAGTTTTGGAATAGATAAACTTGTTCAATTTTGTTCAAATAGTTTTGAACCAATTCTTTGGATTTCTTTCGATAATATTTTAAATGACTTTGATATCTGGGCATTATCTAGACCTATTCAATTAATCTTCTTATTAAGACCTAATTCTTTTGATACTTTAGTGCTTGCGTTAACAAAAAAAATTAAATCACCTATAAACCAACAATCTTTCTTGAATTATTCTTCTACTCTAAAAAATTCAATTGATCCAATTTATAACGATGTCACTCAAGAACGTTTTGAAGAATCTTTAAGACAATTTGTACAATGTGTCAAACAACTTTTTGATTGAGAAAAATAAATGGCTTCAATTTACTTTTTATCTATTTTATTATTTTTTTATTATTAAATTCTTATTAAAAATATTATCTTTTTTCTCATTTTTATATGAGTTATACTGAAAACCATCACTCTCTTCTTGAAACTAAAAAACAACAAGCACTTACTCAATTAGAAAAAATGGAAGAAGAAAATGTTCCTATAAATCCAAATAAATATATTGATCCTTCTGTTGATGGTGAACCTTGGAATATTACTTTATATTTGAAACAAGCTAAAACAAAATAATTTGACTTTTTGTAATATAAAACAAATAGTTAACTTTTATTTACAATATAACACAATTTATTTGAATGAAGAAAAAAAAAGTAATCTAGAAAGAGAAACAAATGAACTTAAAATAATTGAAATGAGCGAAGGTTATATCACATCACCACTAATCAAAGCATTAACACAAGAAACTCCAAATCTTATAAACTCATTCGCAATATTTGGAGTTTCTCCAAGTACATCACCAAATACACCAACTCCTCAAATTCAAGAATTATATAAATATCCAGAGTCTTATAAATTTCCTCTTAAGGCTGAACAATTTATTGTCCCAAGAAATCCTACAATTATTCCACTTACAAATAATGATGTTTTTAAAGAACAACCAATTCGATATATTACTATTCTTCCTGGTGAAATAGAGAGTGTATTATGTGTATGCATACAACAAAATGAATTTTTAAATATTACTTCAGACTTAATAAATCCAACAGGACTTACAACACAATTATTTAGTGTCAAATATTATACACAAAGAACGTATTGTTTCACAACTACATATCCATATTTTTTGGCTTTATTTCCTTTATTGCATTATATTGCAGAACATAGTTATCGAAATAAATTAGAATATTTTTATAGTGTTGTTCTGCGTTTAACATTACTTTCTCCTAATGTTTGTTTAAATCCAATTAAACCATCACTTGAAGCATTTATTCATTTGATCTTTCGTATTCCACAAAAACAATCAAATCCATTATCTTTTACAATAGAAAATAATAAATATACTTTTGCTAGATCATCACCTCCTTTACCATCAACTCCATTATCACAATCTATGTCATTGGTTGGGGATTACTCATTAATACGACTATTTTGTACAATGTCAGTAGAGGAAATATTAAATATATTAAGTGTAATGTTATGTGGGATGGGTGTTATTCTTATATCAGAAAATATATCTACTGCAACGTCATGTATTTTTGGATTTCTAGCATTATTTTATCCATTTACATGGCCAGGTATTTTTATTCCATATATTCCTGATGAATTATTTGAGTTTTATGAAACACCAGTACCTATTTTATGTTCTGGAAAATATCCACCTTATCAATGCAGAGTTAATGCATATGTTCAAGAACTTGATCAATCATATTTTTCATTTTTTATGTCAAAAATAAGTCGTTCTTTTATATCATTACAACCAAATGGCTTTACACTTCCTTGGAGAAGTGAGTTATTAAAAAAACTTACTGATTGTATAAATAAATATGTTCCCAAACGACCAACAATGTATGATAGAGAAAAATTTATTGAAATGATGCCAGCAGAAAGAGTTATTGAATTTTCAAGTGAAGTGATGAAAATTATGAATGAGTGCTTATATAGAAGATTAGAAAATAGTGTTGTTAATTTTTGCACAGAAATGAAAGAATGTTCATTGGACAATTTTATTAAACAATTTCCTCAAAAATTTAATACTGTTGGTGCATTATTTATGAAAAAATTTGTTGAATCACAACACTTTAATGTTTGGTGGTATCAATTAGGTTTAAATACATTAAAAATTAAAAGTTCATCAACTAAATGATATTTAATTAAGAATGATTTTTAGATCATTCAGTTAAAAAGGTTTAAATAAAATTGAAAATTTTAGAATTAATCATTTTTCACCAATATTTGTGTACATTGAATAAAAATCTTCTTTTCTTTTTGTTGGTTTATAAGAAATACAAGTACCAATTAATAATATTACTATATGAATAATTTCTAATAAAGTAATTAAAGAAGTAATAGTTTTATAAGTATTATGTGGTGTAATTAATACATGATAACATGTTGGTAATATCTTCGAAGAACAATAATTTCTTGGTTCTTTCCATCCACAACAATTAAACTATTAAATAATTAATTTTCTTAAAAAGAAATAAAATAACACAAACTTCATTTTCAACACCAATAAGTTGTTCTTTTTTTATTATTGAATTAATTGAATATGTTGTTATTGAATTAGTAAATATTGATAAAATACAATACATAATAATTAAACAACCAATAGAAATTATTAATAAATACATTTCTTTTTTGTTATAATTTATATATTGTTTAAAACAATATATTGAATAACTAATAACAATTATTCCTGTTATTAATGAACTATGTGTTACAGATTTACTTGACAATTCATTTTCAGGATGCTTAGAAAATAACGCATTTGTAATTCCATGAAATACTAAAAATATTCCAATTATAATTATGGATATATTAATATACTTTAAAATTTGTTGTCTTGAAGGAATCATTAATTCTTTTATTCAATAATTTTTTTTTAGTTTTTGTCAAAAATTTTTAATATTTTTTTTTTATAAATGATAGAAGATCAAAATAAAAAGTAATTAATTAAGTGTTAATAGAAATTTCATATATTCTTCCTAGTTTAGGGAAGACTAATCTCATCCATTCGCTTATTAAAAAGAGTAATCTTTGTTGAACCTATCATTTAGGTTTGTCTTGGAAAATGAGGAAAGCACTT